AGCTTGTACTCTCTTGCTAATGCTTCAGTCACGCTGCAGCTCAACGTGCGTTGTTCATGTAGTCAAGGGCTTCCAGGCTGGAACGCTATGGAACGTCTCGAAAGATGTTCTGGAAGCATTTGTGTATGCACCTGGACATTCGGTGCTGCTGTTATTTTGCCAACATCCAAGCGGACAAAGCGCAAGGGCTTCGCCAGCCAAGTCGAACTGTCAACACCGATCGCTCTTGCATTCGTGCGTTGTTCGACATGGTTTCGAGGTTACATGTTTTCGCCCGAAACTTTCGGTTCAAAGTTCCATCGAAGAAGCAGCGATATAGTTAACAAATTCTACATACAGTAACCAGCAGTCAAAACTTAGTGAGTAGTATGCATATATTGCCTATGAAACCAATTACTGTATGTGGGATTTACCTATGCCAAATCCGCATACGCACCATCAGCCCAATATCAACCCAAGACCCTAGAGGCCCTAGTGCCCCAAAAAGGCTCCAAGGCTGAAGTGACACCCAAGATTCTTCTCGTAGAGCCCTGCCCCTGCTCGAGAAGAAGTGATCCCAAGGTTCTAAAATGTTCTAAACACCCTAAATGACTGGTGGGTGGCAAAAAAAGACACCCTTAAGGCCCGAAGTCGAACACAGAAAGGTGCCCCTAGAACCGAAGCGACCAAATTGCAAGGCACAACAGCTGCTAAATTCAAGATCCTTTTGTGCCAAGCGCGCTTGGCCACGGCTGAAGCAGATGGGCCAGCAGCTTATTTTTTAGGCTTTCAAGCGCTCTTCTTCCTTATGAATGCTGTCTACGTAAAGAAAAGACACTCCGTCAGAAGCTCGCGTGCTGACAGTTCTTGGGTTCGCCCTCCTCGCCAGCTTAGCCACCCTGCCGACACAATTTTCGTTCGATTCACAACTCAAGGTCAAAGCATTCAGGCAGAGGACCTCAATCGTGACATCTACCAAGATACCCTCTGACTCCAAACTTTCAGCTTATGTGCGTAGCAGTTACGATATGAGAATGACCAGGTTGCAGATTCTGCAGCTCATCCAGGGCGCGGGACAAGGCCATACTGGATGTGGCAAGCAACAATAGATGCTGTATAGCCATTGAGCGCCCAGGGCGAAGGTTACAGAGCTGGCACCCTACAGGCCCCCTCTTTTGCTCAGCTCAAGCCCTCTTTGAGAGCCCGTTCTGGTGGAAACCGGGGCTAGGTTCCGAGCTTCAGATTTCTTCCAAAGTTTCTGGAACCAGGCTTTGTATACTTTCGAAATTATGCAACAAGGGGCAGCCCTAAGGCCCTAAGGCCTGAAGCCCAGGCCCCTATCACGACAGCCTTTCTTGGGAGGCAAGAGGCAAACTTTTGGGTACCCCGGACGGCCACGCCTCTAAAGAAAGCACAACATTATTTCATGTTTGTAAACTCTACCTGTATATTTGCAAATTTCTAGCGATTCGTTTATACCTCTATAGACACCTCTAGACTTAGTATTAATGTTGATCGGTTTATTCCAAAGAGCTGAAGGTGCACCTCCCCCCCATGGCTGCATCCTGCCGGGAATGCCGTGGAGGGCTCCGCCTGCGGCAGCTGATGTTTCAGGGTTAAGGTTTTGTGGGGTTTGCTGCGTTTGTCTAGCATGAACCAAGACACTACAGCCCCAAAACCTCAATCCCCTGTCTCGCCATCTTTTGGGTACAATCCAAGCTTGGAGTGAAAAATACCCGGTTATTGCTTGAATTTCCAAATTTACCTTTCGAGTCTTGTCCGGGAGTCTGGGGTCTCCAGCCGCAGCAACATCAGCAACAGCAACAACAGGACAACCTCACAAATGCATCTTCGCTGCAGCACTGCGGTTTTAGTGCTCTAGTCACAGATGGTAGGGTATGTGTGCACTTGCATTTGCACCACTGGGTCGATGCTACTCCTACTGAGGTACAAGTGGCAACACCAGAGAGAGGTCAGTGAAGCACTTTCCCGCGGCCCGGCCGGGAACTGTTGCACACTTTGTCCCCGATAGAATCCAGCAACACATCATTCAGAATCGTTTGGGGACGTCAGCTGGCTTGTCTGGCTTCAATTTTGGGATTGCCCTTGCATGCATCCGTGAGGCAGCTTTTAGGGCTTGAAGCAATGCAGGCTACAGCGGCTACACGCCTCATTTCCCAGGCGAGGTCCTTTGTTGCTTGCGCGGCAGCAGGTTGCACCGGTCGCAATAGCCACTCCGGGTAACCACACCAGCGGACGCTGCGTGCTTCGCGCACTTTCCACGTCTGGAAGTCGGAGGGGCATCAGTGGGAGCCGGCCTCTGCCCAGCAGCCGTCCAAGCTCGAAGCAAGCACCTAGGCTCCTAGTTAGGCTGGTTAATCATGTCTACGTATCTGGAATGGCCAGTGCGAGCCTTCACCAGGCCCTAGGAGCGATCGGGCAAAGGATGTCGTGCACACCGGGCACGAGCTTGAGGCCGGCTGTCCGTTCCGCCTATGCTCGAGTCTTACGTATTTTGGACCGACTGTGGTCTCTGCACCTCTGTGCTCGCTCTGACGAATCGTTTCGTGGATGGCGTGTCCAATTCTCGAAACGGGCGTCAGGGCTTCGCCGCTCCTCGGTCTCCCCCTTTACGGACCTCTGGGGACAGTCGGCCACTCGATTCCAAAGATTGCAAAATAGACTGGCCGGGGCGCCAGTCGCCACTCCCACGTGCAGCAAGAACCATAGCTCCCATGTGATGCTGTCAAGTCCAGGCTCAGGATCAGGATGCTCTCCGCGTGTTCTTCCTTCACCGTGTCCATTGTGTGCCGGCCATGGGCAACACTTACAACAAGATTCCCCTATTTCTGCTACAGTTTGCCGACGCTCCGTGCTTCGTATTCGCGTGCCTGTAAGTGTCACTGAGGAAGTGTACTTCGATGCTTTCAGTTCATGTCAGTTCTTACAGCTTAGTGCCCAAGGGCAGGTCTTTCACTTTCAGTGCCGTCCCAGTTGATAGGTCCCCAACATTACTCGTACAGCTTCTGTTACCTTCTTTCTCGAAAAGCTTGCTTGAGTTTCGCTCGACAGCGAGCCCAAAGGGGCCGCTTCAAGTGTCTTGAATGTGAGGCATGGATGGTGGTAGGCACAGAACATCACAGAACCAGGAGTGAGATTCTGGGAACGGAAGCTTTGCAATCAAAGCAGGAAAACCCAATTACTAAGTGCGGTTCTGCACACGTGCGGTGCACGCGGGCTGCATGAATGGGGCATCTCCAGCTTCCAGTTGTGCCTTGGGTTGCGTTCACTGGTTTGGTGTGTAATCGGATCAGAATCCTGGCCCAGCTTCGTTTGCAAAGCCAGCGTGCTTTGGATCTCCTGCGAAAGCGATCTTCCATCGCTTCAGAACAATGAACTGATGAAGTGAAAGCGTGCAAACCTTGTGGAGAGGAAGGAAAGCTCGAGGCAGCTTCTCAACCCGAGCGTCCCTAGCGGCTACAGCGGCTGGTGTATCGCCTTGCATAGCGAATTTCTTAAGTACCTGCACCTTCAGCTTTATGAAATGCGTGGACGTCTCAGGCATTTGCAGCTTCAGGAGCCCTTCTAGCCATGAGAGTCTGGAATCGGAATGGTGCAGGCTCTCCCCGAAACTGGATGCAAGGTCCGGAACGGTAAGGGTACAGCATCAGAATCAGAGCCCAACGGCCATGAAGAGCCAGCATGAATGCCGCGGGAGATGTCTAGAAGAGCTGCCTAGACCCAAATAGAAGGCCGTGTGAAGCCTTGGGACATCCGCAAGATTTAGACTGGTCTGTCTGGGTTGGTCAGCGCAAGAGCTCCAAAGCTGCGGTGAAACTCGAGTAGAACTCGAGGGAGCTTCGGGCTCGTGCTGTGTTGGTGTTTCTTTTGTCGGCTCCAGGGGTTGCCCTCATTTCTTTGTCCCTCTTCGTCCTTTGCAGAGATGCAAAGAACTTCCCAGCGAAGGGAATTCCCTATCCAATGCTCCCCAAGCGTTCCAAGATGTCCCAAGCCATTCCCTGACTGGGGAATTCAACTCTGGTTTGCGTTTCTTTGCGTTTCTTTACCAGGCTTTTGGAAGGCTCTCAATCTGCGTCATACATGCCGAGTGTGTCTAGTTGGCAGCCTTCCCAGAGCCTTCCATATGAAGCTTCGGAAGCAAACTGAGAAACCTCCCAGCACGGGGTATGTCGGAAAAAAAGGGCGCAGCCCAGAGGGAGCCTGTTTGCAGATGCTGCAGAGAGTGCTTGCAGAAAGGTACGAAAGACACGAAAGCGATTTTTCAGTGGCATGGCGGCAAACCCCCTCTGAACCCTTCCTGGTGCCCACGAGACATCTCAAACTGGACGGACCATGAGGGCGTACACATGTCCTGTTTATAGGCATAGACCATACATAGCATCGCCAGCATCAACCATCTTCAACCTCAAACCCGGGCAGCGTTCTGTGCAGACAAGATCAAGGTTCATGCAGTAGAGCCATTTTGACAAGTCGGTGGTGCTGTGGGTGGTCCACACATGATGCATGTCTGTTTCTTTCATACAAGCTGCGATGTTCATGTCTTCAGCATATGCATGCGATTCGTCTGTTTGTTCACATCCACTCACTGTGCTTCCTACCCTGGATTCTTTTGGTTAATCATACCTGTTACACAGATGGGCTATTGCGTTTTGAAGAAAGACCAAGAAGATTAGGAAGGAAACTGCTCTGCCTGCGTTTTTGCCTTTGAAGCCCATAAACCGACTTCCAGGCTAATGACATTGAAAAAGTCCGAAGCCCTTCAGGACTTTAGGGTGTGGGGCCCAACACCTTTGACTTATTGCTTCTGTAAGTGAAGGATGCACGCTGCTTGGGTTTCATGAGTAAGGCAATTCTTGCAGCTGACAGCTCCAGACGTAACGCCGCAGGGGCATGGTCGCAAACGAAAACTAGGCAGCTTGCCAGACATGCAGTTGCTGATGTACCCAGCAGGTCTCCTGGCCTTGTTGAGTCGGGGGGTTCAGCGTGTAGAGATTCGGGTC